CAAGCCAAAATGCCAATATATTTATAATTGTAGGTGTAGCATTCTAGTGATTGAAAGGCACTAGACATAGTATGTATCCAAAACTTTTTTGATTGCTACCACAGGACACCCCCCCATGCCTGCGCGCGCGCGCGCACATACACATTCTCAAACCACTGCTTCCCCTTTCTACTTGTGATGCACTGTTTCTGTTTTATGGTCTGTGGCATTAAAAAAACTGTTGGTCTGTTCTCTACCCACAAATTAACAGCCCTCAAAATGGGTCACGGCTCACAGTTCTGAAATACTGGTAATTGACCTTACTCCTTTCTGGTACTTGGTCTGTGAATTTCTTCATTGAAGTGGGTGGGGGTCGTGAGCCTGGAATCTTAAAAAGATTCAATAATTTTCTGGTATATTTGAACTGGATTGCCATAAAACCCAGAGAACTTAGTTTCTTGGTTCACTTCTCTGAAGATTAGGACAATTAACAAATTCCTTTTAATTTTTACTCCATGAAAATACTTTTTCAAAATTATCATTTTTTGTTGGGGTTTATGTGTTCACAGAGATTATTGAGGAGGCACTTTTATCTGAGCAACTTATCTGCAAATCATGAAAAAAGGGGAGGGAGCTTCTGTTTTATATTTCTGCAGGTGTATGCCAGCCCCTGGATTTGCATTGTTAGATTCAAGTCTGCATGGCACTTGACTTTGTTCTTTGATTTGGGGATCCATTGATCCATTTTGGCCTGAGTTGACATTGTTAATATTCCTTATGTTCCTCCTAAGGGGATTTTTAATTCAACAAAACACATCTAGTTTCTCTGGTTGGAACAAATGCTTAGTGTAATGTCCTTAATCTCTGCAGGTAGAGTCACTCTCAGCACCTGTGGGCTATTAAATTTTAACTAGAAGATAATGAGGCTGTCCTAAATTCAGCCTTTCTTCCCCTTTGGAATGGCATGAAATTGCAAAATACATTAACTTGCAAAGCTGACTACTTACATATTTGTCAAATTAGAAGTACTTGTAATTTCTATTTTACTCATGAAATATGTAAAATATTAGTTTATAAGGAAATCTAAATTTCTCTAGGAGTCTGGAAATAATTTCCTTCAGATGTGATTATCTGAGCTCACAAGAAGCAAGCAATCCTGAGTGGTTTATTTTAGCTCTGTAAGTCGCTGGCTTTCAAATTGTAGTAGTTTCTTTAGCAAACCTCCCCACCCCCACTGCATATTGGAAAACAGGATGATGTTGAAAAGGGGACTCTGCTTGGCCAGGTCTTGATTTTCCTTCCTCGTGCCTAGTAAATGCAATCTTCCTGAGACGTCACTCAGCAACCCTTCAAGTGAAAAAGGCCTTTACTTGGGCCTAAAGAGCTTTCCCGTGGTTCTCAGTTCTCCTTCCAGGAGGTGGAATCCAACGGGGCAAGGTTGGGGAAAGGTGGGTATAGCCATGGGCAGTCAGGGCGGGGCAGCTTCACCAGCACATTTTCATGTAAACTGCAAGTGATAAGGTCCAGTTCTGTCACTTCCAACTTCATTGGTGAAGCCAAGTCATCATTTCTGTCTTGCTTTGTCTTAGCTGTTTCAGCCTTTTAATTGGGTTACCTTATTGCCTCCCTCCTGAGTGCTGTAGCACAGTATTCCTCAACATTTTAAACTCATACCTCCAGATTTATTCAAATTCTGACCTTTGCAAAATGTCGTTTCAAAATTAGTAATCTAACAAACTAAAACATAACTTTAGTCTTTTTTAAGGCATACTACTCTTATATTCCTTAGTATTAACTTAAATCCCCCGCTCTCTCTTAACAGGTTCTGGATAAAAGCAGTCTCCAAGTCCCAAATAAGTTGTCCCACCAGTTTTAAAGTAACTTGGCTGGTACTCAGTGCAGAACAGATAATTTGAGTTCAAAGGGAAATAAAAAGGATTAAATATCAGGCAAATCACTCTTCATCAGGTCCAGTGGTCACCATTTTCTCAAAACAAGGCTAAGCTTCCCTGGTTTCCTTCCCGTTGATGCATTTAGGGGCCTTAGGGGCCCTGAGGTTGGCAGGGGAGCATGAGAAAGGAAAGGAGGCAGGTGAGGAGGAGGAGGAAGGTTATCCAGGCACTCTGCCCTTTTCCATATGAAAAGGTGACATGGTTCCACTGGCTTGTTAGTTTGAGTTAGCTGTATGGACACTGCCCTGGGGATTTCAGGAAGAGGAAAGGGTTCTGGAAGGATGGAGGCAAGAACCAGAGAAGGTGCCCTTGTAGTGGGAACAGATTCGATTGGTACTGGTGGCAAAGTTTAGGTTCCTCTGGGAATAAATTCTATCATGACCTTGACTTCTCTTGGACATTCTTCATTTTCAAGTCTAAAATCTTGCTGAACTCTGTAAACTGTTCTTGGGCTTGATCTAAGCAGTCCTTCTGAGTCCTCTATAAAGTCCAGGGCTGTGCAGGTTGGCGGACAGCATCCTTTTATAGGATAGGCTCCTTCCTGAGCCAGGCTGGAGACTCCTTCACTGCCCAGACTTTGTGTACCTTACATTTGATCATCCCTTATCCTAGCACATTGCCTTCTATCAACCAGACCAAACAGACTCTCTTCTCTGGTAAATGCCACTCCACCTGTGACTCTATAAAACTTGCCCTGCCCGTCCATGCTCCTAGTGACTGCTATCTCATAGCATATCCTATTTCAATGTTTCTCAAACTTTTTTGACCATGACTAGCAGTAAAATAGTTTACATCATGATCTGGTACTCTTATTTGTGTGTATCTATATACATTTATCTATGGCACCGTAAAAAAAATATATTACAAAACAACTTTACTGCATGTGATGTAGATTTTCTAATCCATTTCATTAAAATATTCTAGTAATCAATCACCCATAAAATTTGATTTCAAACCCTGCAGTTTGAAAGACATAACAGTCCATTTTATTGTTTGAGTCCTCATGCTGTTGAACCAAAAATGTGCTAGTTTCCAATTTCCACACATTGGTAATCTAACTCGGAGGCAACACTGAACAAGTTCATCCACATACATTAAGACTCCTCCGTTTACCCTTCCCATTCCATAAGGCCTGAGTCCCATTTGCTCTTCTGATGCTCCGGTCTCTTTTTTTTAATTTTTCTTTTCTTAAAATTTATTTTTTTCCCCCAAAGCCCCAGTAGATAGCTGTATGTCATAGTTGCACATCCTTCTAGTTGCTGCATGTGGGACGCGGCCTCAGCATGGCCGGAGAAGCGGTGCGTCAGTGCGCGCCCAGGATCCGAACCCAGGCCACCAGCAGCAGAGCGCTCGCACTTAACCGCTAAGCCGCAGGCCGGCCCTCTCCTGGTCCTTTTTGATAAGTTACTCAAATAGTTTCAGTACCCTCAGTCCCCAATTTCCAAAAAGCTGTTTTTGGATTTTTATTTTAACATATGGTTGCTTTACATAGTATTAATGCTGATGCCTCTCAGCTCTGGCATTAAAGCAGCACATCCCCTTTTAATGCGCCAAAGCTTTTCAAAAAAAAAAAAACTTGATTCTGCTCCTAATTGTATCTGAGTTATAACTCAAACCTTTTTCCTCATATCATTTTGTTTAAAATGTTAAATTGAGTTTTAGGTTGTAAATACAAATTTTTTCCTATATAAACATCAGCTGAGAAATGTTGAGACTGTTCCATAGCACAGCAGTGGTCTTAAAACTGAAACATTCTACTACATCACCAAGAAGCCACTCATTTAGTACATGCCTTTTAGGAATGCAATACCTGAGTTGTATTCAAGTGTAGAGACAGTAATAGAGGAAGTAGAGATAGCAAACTGAGGAAAGAGCCAGGACCAGAGGCAAAAATTGGGAGCTTATTAACTTTGGCATAGAAAAATAGAACATCTTTTATTATTAGAGGCTGATATTTCATTAGTCAGTGAAATAAACATTTAAAAATAAGAATGGAGACCAATCTGATAGCCCTTAATTTTTTTCCTCAAAAGTTCAAAGCACTGACTTGCCCCCAGTGGGGGTTTGGAATATCTGTAACAGAGTTAAAACCACTGAGCTACACGTTACCCGCTTTGCAAGTCCACTACAGACTCACATGACATCAGTCCGGGTGGACTTGCCCTGTCAACTCCATAGCAGCAAAGCATGATGAGGATTCAGCTAACACCTGGCAAGGGGAGAAGTTTCCACAATTATCAGGACTGCACTGAGTATTCGACAAAGAGATTCAGGCATCTGCAAATATTGATGAACCGGGGGAAGGAAGGGGCTGATTTAACAAGCTCCCAGGCAGCCACTGTTCTCCTTGGAAGTTGTAAACCAAGATCAAAGGCTAATCCACCGTTATCTAACCTTTTGCTCATTTGCTTCAATATGTCAAGAGGCTAATGGTGCAATGGACGTTGAGTGCTTAAGTAGCTGATTACTGTCATTTTCCCTTGTCTTTGGTCCCTCAGTTAGATGTCTTAAACTCTGACATTCTAGGAGAAAACATGAATACTTAGGTTTCTGAAGATGTATGACTGGGTCCTGGCCCAGAGAGGATGGTAAATGGAGATGGGAACAGACATCAATACAAGATACTAGCAGCCCATAAATGTCAATCCTGGCAGCGATGAAGTTGCTCCTCTGCAGAGAACTCACGAGGTGCCTCAGTAAATCTGGGAATCAGATATGAGCAAAGCAGCCTGTGGGAGAAGCCCTTGTGAAGACAATGCTTCTGCAAACCTCCCAAGTTCCTGTTAGCTTCCAATACTATTTGAACCTCATAGTGGTTAAGAGAGAAATGCTAGAAGCACAGGTTCTTGACCAACTTCATTACCAGCAACACAACACAATCATATCAAGAAGACATCCCAATCCTCACATCACCACTTGCCCTCATTTAGTACAGCACAACTACAGAAGGTGCCAGCACACACAAAATAGCGGGACAGAAAGGAGATGAAACACTCTTGTGCAAGCCCCAAGTCTAGTGGGAAGACTCTGGCGAACGCTATGTAAAAATAATGGAAATGCATACACATGTACATTAATTACATATTTATTTACAGTCTTCATTTTCCCAGCTTTGCAGCCTGAACTCCTGCCATTGTCATTTAATCAATTCTAAGATGCACAATTTTTCATATCTAAATATCCCTGAAATTGGGATACTACTGACCCAATATCAATTGTGATGTAATGGAAACTTCTTTTAGACACCTTCTCTAAGATCAAGGAAGTACCAGTATCACAGCATCAGCCAACGAAGGCTTAAGTCCACAACAGGGAAGGGCAAACCACACTGATGACAAGTGTGAAGGCAGCTGACAAACACTGCAGGTGTGCAGAGCTTATGCTGAAATCAGGAGCTCTGTACCGCAAAACGTGTGTCTAAAGAAATGAAAATGGTAATGCTGCTTCTGTTTAAACAGTAAACCTTGAATGGATGGTTTAGTCTCAAATTAAGAATTGAACCTAAATAAGTCAGTGTTGTATTCAACTCTACTTCAAAGTTCACCAAATGTGTATTACTGCCATGTTTTCTTCATATCATGGTTAGTAACATCTCAGTTCTCAGTGTCATTATAGCAGCTATGCTAGGCCACAGCTGCTCCTGATTCACCCTCTTCTATTTGCCTTCACTGATGTCACTGTCACTGTCACTGGTCAATGCGGTCAGGTTTCCCAGGGCTTCCCTGCAAGGAAAATGAACAGGAGTGTTACTCTGCAACTCATCTGGGGGATGGGGGACTCTGCAGCTGCACTGACCTATATTTACCAAGGGAAAGGTTCCAATAAGCCAAATCTACAGACCTCCTTGATTTGTATGACAAATGAAATAATTGTTAAATCAACACATCCTGACGTTTTGCAAAGAAAGAAGAAAATTCAGGGGGTAGAAAGCTATGCACATTTGAATGGGCAGATGAACAAAAGGTCTGCTCCATTTTTACAACTTTCCTTCATGGTGATGATACAGGACCCACTTACCTTTGCTCCTGGCTGACTGCGAAGTCAGCCATTACTCTCTGGGTGAGGCCCTCACAAATAGGTAAGCTGAAGGCACTCGCCAACTTCACTATCTCAATGGCCTGGGCAGGGCTACTGGATGCTTTTGCACTGTCCATAAACTCATTCAGCAACTCATTTCTGTAAAAGAAAGGCAAAATGTCAATATTCCCCAGCTAAACCCGCCAACCCCTTCAGTCCAAGATTTACATGCAAAATCTAGCATTTTATAAAGTTCAGTCATCAAATCCTCAATGGTAGCTTTGGAGGCGGTTACATGAAATCTAACTTTGAAGGGCCAAAGAGATAAGGAACATTGGTTCAATATGCCTTCATTGAGGATCTATTCAACATATCCCCAGTGTGCCGCAAACACTGAGCACAGATTAAAAAACAGTGCGTGCCTCAGGATGCCCTAGATGGCGGGAGCAATTGTCCATTTGCTTGCCTATCAGAAAAATGCCCAACCACTGTGGCTGAGGTATGTGAAGAAATTCCAATCACCCCACTAAGAGTTAAGCCCATGCGGCTAATTCTAGGATGTATGCAGGCAGGCCTGTTAACTGCCACTTACCTAGGGATCTTATTATGTTTCCTGAAAAGCCCCAACATTTTCCTGTTCAAGATGAGATAGGAGACAGATTATGAATACCAACAGAGCAGAAGGCAATCAGATGACTGTAGCTGTTCTCCTGGACTCAGAGACTAAGCCTCCTTCCTAACTCCAGTGGAAGCTCCTGGAGACACACATCTGTTAGCCCCACTGGCGCCCAGTCCTGTCCTTACAACACAATCACCCCAGGTGCCTCCACTCCCTCTTCCCAGACTTCATATACGGACACTACAAGTGTCACAGGCAAATCTGGTTTGCTGCTAGTGTGGAGAACTGGTGGGGTACATCCCCTTGTAGAGCACCACCTCAGTCCTCCCAGAGAGGGAATATATCCTGTGGGCAGTTGGAAAAGAGGGATGCAATCGAGTATGATCTCTTCCTCTCTTACCATCCACTATGAGCTCAGTGTGTCCTGAAGTTACGTTATGAGGGGCAGGCTCAGATTGAGGCATCAGTCTCATGTAAGTGCTTGCCATCATCCTGCCACATGCAGGACAAGGAGAAACACATACACTCAGCTCCCATGACTCAGCTGAGGTCCGTACCCCTGCGCCAATCATCACAGCCTGATTCATAACAAGTGTGTGGCAACCTGCCTGAGTTAAATTCAAGCATCAGATGGTTAGCAGGTCATGTGTGTGATTCACACTCCTAAGACCAGCAGAGGCAGCAAAGCCTTCACCCACTTTTCCTGGAGACGGTGACCAGCCATATTTTGGACTGACAATCGCATGTTCATATTAAGTTACTTTCTTGGGTTGAAGAAACCATGCACAAGTATCCCTCACTTACCAACTTTTACAACTAATACACATTTATATCCAACACAAAATATAGCAGAACCACTTAACTGTGACTACCCCTACAAAGTATTCTTCTGTCGGCTTCTCTGCTTTTGGAAAAATGAATACACATAAGGTTTCCATTCACAAAATTAGTATGCGAATGAAACGCTGACGAAAACATAACTAGAATACAGTGGCACAAACCAAAGATGGATTCTACTCAAGGTCATGTTTAGTAAATATTGGTGGATGCCAGTTTCCTTAAGTCCAAGTATACAATCCACCTTTTAAGCTGAGAAGTGAAAGGAGCACCCACAAATGAAATACTTGAAAACCAAATGCCCAAAACATTTTCAAAAATAAGATTCTTCGATCACTTTGTCTATTTAAGCGGACAGATAAGGGACTTACTTGCCCATGGATACAGAAAACAGAAAGGTCAGAAACGGAAAGAGAACTAGCCCACAGAATCATATCCTCTCTTAAATATATCACGTATACTGGTCTTGTTCTAAAAGTTTGCTTTTCAGTTAGTATTTGGAAGTTCCACAGAAAACTCATTATGCAGAAGACTCATTTGTCTCCCGATCAACTGTACATCATACAGCCAAATTAGAGAACCTCTACCGACCAGGGTAAATGTTCTCTGAGATCCAAGGACAAATGCTTCTAATTCACACATGGGGTACTGTACTCACCAGGCTTCCTGGGTTCTCCCAGCCCTTAAAAAGAGGACAGCTATACAGTTCAGAGAGTTGGCTGGCCAATCAGGAGCAGTCTGTCTAGCATCTTGGTTTTCGTAAGTAGATTTGATATCTGCAGCACAGTCAGCAAACGCCACCTGAAGCTGAGAGGCTCTAAGAGTCAGCAGAACTGCCTAAATGGTTTTGTAAGAATTTAAGTTCAGGAGACTCCATAAGACCGTTAAAATTTTTGAGCAAATGAATACATCACATGTATAGCACACAAGTAATTAATACAAAACAACACCCTTCTCTGGGGAAAATAATTTGATTAGCCACATCTCTCAAATCCAACTATAGGTTTATTTTTAGGTGGCAATTAAACAAAGAAAAAGAGAAAGAAACCAAGCTGCTTTGTCAGGAGAGAGAGAAGCTATTTTCATGTTGTTTGCTTTGGACTAGAGGAATGAGCGTGACTTTATAAATGGTATTCTGCTAATGGCTAGATCTGTTTAGTTGTATAATTCAAGTCTGGGCTTAGATGGCAGAATTCTCCACAATGATAGATGAAACCGGGGAAATTACCCTTACAGGGCCCTCAGTACTAGAGGATATACCGGTTAGCGTACATCTAACAACGGTAACAGAACCTGAGGGGCAATACAACCCTACCTCTGGTGGGTGCTGATCCCTTGCCATGAGCATCAGAATCTCTTCTTTCAGGTCATTGCGGTAAGTGTGACCATATTCTTTACTATCTTGAAACAAAAACGATCACAGTGAGAAGTGATGACCATCATGTAAAACCAACTCTCTTTGGCTGACCTTTGTCCATCGTCAGCTGTCACCCATATTTTTTGATGAGTCACAGTAAGTTGCTGACATTATCTATTCTAGGTTTATTCCAAGAATTCCAGAAAACCAGCTGGATGATTCACTGTAAGAATGGACAAAAGCAGTGAAAGCCAATGCAAGCAACCTGCTCTCGGTCCAGTGTTAAACACAGCACATGCGCTACATCTGAGCAGCCACCAGCTCCACGTAGTAGGACACTGTTGCTTGGGTATCATCAATGGTCTTTTAGACACACTCATTAGAACAGTCTTGTGAAATAGTAGGGCACAGCTATAGTCTCAGAGTCTGAGACATGGAAACCTGAGGCAGACAGAAACTGACTTGATCATAGTCACCTAGTGGAAGAGACAGCATCTTCTACAGCCAATTTATACACATAAGACACACATACACACAAACCAACAGTCAGGGCTATTTCTTAGAAACATCAAGTATCACTGACTGGTCAGCAACTGAACCACAGTGATGCAACATGGTACAGAGGAAAAACAGAGGCCTTGGAGTGAGGGACCTGCATTTAGATTTACAGTGTACCACGTAATTAGCACTGATCTTCCCTTTGTCATGTCACACAACAGGTGCACAAAACCCAGCCTTTTCTTGTCATGAAGGAACTAATTTCAGATCATTTTCACTCATGCAATCCAATAGGCAACATGAGCAAGTGACCTAGAAGTAGACCTCAACTAACGTATTCAATTTAGTCAAATATGAAAGTTTTCATCCCTAACAACGTTAACAGGTTTGTTAATCAAAATGGAGGACAATGAAGTGAGACAGACCTGAACACATAAGCTGAAACTAACCTTTCCAAATTTGAGGAATCACTTCTAGCCGGCTGGCCACATCCAATGCTTGGAGAAGATGAATCAATGTTTGAGAATGGGGAAAGAAGACCTGATTAAGAGAAATACAAATATATTTTTAAAGTATTAATCAGAAAAGACACCCACAAACACGTCTGCAATGATAAATGATTAGTAATGAGTCATCTTACTGAAGGTATCAGGTCCTTATACCACTTCAAAGTGACATCAATTTGTTCCATTAGACAAAGCAAACTGAAAAACTTGGAACTGCAACGGAGAGAAAAAGTATGTTTAGTATAAAATCCCTATTTAATAATAGGGGAATGATTAAATTACAGCATAGTTATATAATGACATGTTATATAGAATTTAAAAACAATTTACAAGTTATAAACAATTTGAAGTTACGCGGGCCAACGTTTGACCCAGAAGGTGCTAACTGTGCTTTCTGGATTTCCCAATACCTTTTTATCCTCAACTGATCATTCATGACTGCCTCCTCAGCATACTTGCAGTTTATGGGGAGCAGACAGTGAACATCATATTCATTTTAAAAGCATTCGATGTGAAGCAAGGATTTGGACATATAGAAGACAATCATCACACACCTATTAACAGGCTGCCTCCTTAAGTTGTTGTTTTTATCTGCCTAAAAGCAAACTCACTTAAGGAGTTTCTTTAGGCTCCAGTATATTCATCTTGAAAAACAAAAGAGGCTGTGACGAAATCTTTAGGGATGCACCCTACTATAAATTCAAAAATATAAAACAGAAGGGCGTAGAGGAAAAAGATACATGCATTTAAAGTGTTACAAACAAAACAGCTTAAAAGATATATGCTAGACATCTCAGTCTGGGAGATCAGTTTTACCACTGCTTGAATTTCCAAGCGCTCAATTAACATGTACTATTAAGTCAGAGGCATGCTGTCTGAGTCATCAGGGGTGAGACAGGAGGGCCACTAACAGCCTCCCACTTGCAAAATCAACTAATGGTTGCTTAAAGGTGCAAAAGGATACATTTCCAACACACTTACTAATAGAAATTACGCCGCTGCTCAGGTCCAATGAATTTCCAGTTGTCTCCGGTGCTTAAAAGCCCATGTACTTGGTAAGCAAGTTCTAGATCTCTGAGAGATGAGCACTGAAAATTTACAAGTAGTAAGCATCACTGTGAGATCCTTATCAGCCAAACAGTGGCTCATTACATAAAGAAAAAAAGTACAGTTTCTTGTGGAAATATTTATATGATGATTCAATGTATTACTGGTTGACAGCAAATGAGTTACAAGCAACAGGAGGGGGGATCACAACAAACCCCCAAGTTCTGTGAAATGTGAAACAACATGATTTTGATCTAGTAATTATACCTTTAGAAGTCAATCCTATAAAAATACTTGATCACATGCACAAAAGACAGAGTGCTTACTCCAGCATCACTGTACCAGCAAAAAACCCGATCAACTCCAAAACCAACCCATAAGAGAAGAGTTATAAGTTAAATTGTAGTCCTTCCCTCCTATGAAATACTTCATTGCTGTCAACAAACCAAACACCACAGAAATGCAGCTGGGTGTGCACGTCTGAATACCTAGAAGAAAAGCCCTGGAAGGATACACACTAAACTATAAAGCAATTATCCTTAGGCAAAAGGATACGCTAATTCATTCTGAAACTGCTTGAAATTTTTCCTATAATTAGCATGATAAAATGAAAAACCAAAATTAAAAACAACCATCTTCAATTTAAGAAGTTACCAATAGGCAAATACGAAATACTCTGAAACCTTATTTGAACAAAGGTATGAAAAAAGACAATGTATACAATAAACACAGGGAAGGGACGTTATGTGATTTAGTATGCATTTTAGAGGAAAAAAAAGTGAGAACCAAAGACATGAAAAAAAGTAAGAGTTAGGAAGTCAAAAAATCAAGAAGATATTCCCACAACCAGTTACAGATAAATTTAGGAAATGGATGAGGAAAAAGGAAAACAAAAGTTAAGCAAGAACCGGTACTTACAACTCTCATGGCTGACTGAAAAAATGCATCTGAAAAGCAAAGTTCACAAGAGCCTTGGTTACTACGGATAAAACATATTTTCAAGTCAGTAACATTAATTAAAATCCTGGCAACAAAAGCTGTAATGCGCAAGATAAACCTAAAGGAATGAAAACTCAAGAGGAGAGGAAGCATACAGCAAAGTGCCACAGACATTTTGGCTTTCTCGGAATAATGACCCAAAAGAAGACTAAGCTAAATTAAACCCTGTCCTCATACCAGGCCTCTGCTAACTGGCACTCGGAAAACAGGCTGTCTTACACAAGCCATTTTTGTACATACCGTCATCTGGGTCCTTTGGAGAGAATTTCTTTCCCATTACTTCATTCATGATATCATAGATGATGAGGGGTGCTTCTTTTGAAGAGCCTTCTACAGAATAAAGAAGCAAATGGTTTTTATCATGAGTCCACTTCCTGTACCACCAGCAAGCACACAGGACCTAGTACAAAAGGCCACATTTCTCCTCCCTCCACCTCCAGTGTAAGGCCCAGCACGGAGCTGGCCAGGGCACATGCTTGCTAAAGGAACAAATGCACCGACAGAGTGCGACTCTCCGTAAGATATGGGACAGTCACCGATCTTTGTCTATGTGCTCCCAACAGAGATTTTTCTCTTCCTTCTTAGTCTCTTCATACACCTGACTTTCACTGAAGTGGGAGACACACACACACACAAAAACGCACCCTCACCAAGCCTGCATACTTAGGAAAACAAACAGGTTTTTTTGCTAGTAATCATTTCCATTCCTCTTAAGTACAATGAAGATGAGGCCAAGAAAAAGAAAACTGTAGAATTAATGGACGTGGGCAGTCCTTTAAAACCACATGAACTGAGTTATCAACAGGTCAGAAAATGTACCTACTATATTCCCAAACATATCACATTATTGATCCACATTCCCTTCCCTACCTTATCTACACACAAGTGATAATATTTTATGATAGCACAGATGTATTTTGATAATTTCCTCAAGCCTGTTTCCATTTGCTGGCATTCCTAATTTTTTTATTAGTGACATAATCTATTTTATATGTAGCAATTCTTCATTATTTTAGGCTTTCTCCTTTGGGTAAATTCCTAGAAATTATTATTGCAGGCAGATAATTTATATACATAAGACAAACTGACACTTCTCCTCCCACTCTGCCCCCACGATCATGGGTGTTACTTAGGAAGCTTAAGTACCACTGACATTGGTTAGCAACTGAATCAAAGTGATCTGTGATAGTATCAAGGAATGGAATAAGCTTTGGGGCCTTCAACACTAGTTTCACTACAATCTCACCAAGGTTGAGCAAAATTTTAGGCGATACAATTATCATGGAAACTGCTTACCTGTTTCCAAGATAAAGTCAGTTACCTGCCCCCCCCACAAAAGATAAAATACCTCCCTAAACACGAAAATATGGATTTTGTAAAATTAGCCCTTCAAAACAGAGATAATCAAGTTCTTCTCTATAGTTTTTATATATAAAGTTTATCACGGGAGAGAAGGACTAGAGTTGTCATTTCTGAACCCAGGGGTTCTTGCTCAGGTTGGGGCAAATGGACAAGAACCCTAACAGACTATGAGTGTCTACTGTGCACCTTCCAAGCACAGGACGAGACACTGCGAAATTCATTCAATCATTACACTTTATGGCATTACTCCTCAGGTAAGGTTTCCAGTCCCTTTTGACACAGCTGATAAACGGTAGAGGTGACATTTCAACTCAGGTGTGACTCTCCAAAGTCCATTCAACAGAGCACAGCTCCAACAGGGACTGGCTGACCTAAAAGCAGGCGACAAATGGAGCCTCAAGTTCTCCCACAAGGCTTCAAAATAAGGTTAAGGTTACTGTGGAGCAGCACTCCTCAACAACTTCCTGCAAAGATGGAAATGTTTTATATCTGCATCACTGAATAGAGTAGCCAGCAGCCACATGTGGCTATTAAGCACTAATGCAATGAAGGAATTCAAAATTTTACTTCATTTTAACTAAATGTAGCCAGTGGCTGTCGTATTGGACAGCACAACACTGGAGAGCATAAGGAAGCCCAAACCAAAGCAACTTCTGACCATTTCTAACTGTACACCAACACTGCTAGTACACTTAATGGCCTCTCTCCCTTCCAGCTCAAGTTTCCCATCACAAACAAGGTTACTATCCACAAGAACAACTTTTTGCTCAGGCTATAGATAATGTTAATTTGTGAATTCTCTATTCTTAATTTATAGGCAGAGAAGGTAACATACAACAACTAATCACTTATAAGTAAGGGAGTTGAATCAACTTTGTACTGAAATTAATATAACACAATGTCATACATACCATGTTGATAAAACAGCTGAATAATATAGTGATATGTTGCAAGCGAGGGTTCTCAAATTACCAGGTGGACAGAAAAAATAAGAAATAAAATAAGTCAAATACAGCTATCCAAAATACAGCTTACTAAGACACGCCAAACTAAAAACATATTGATGCTGGTATTTAAGATGATGCACTTCTACTCCTTTGAACGAAGACATTTCCCAGCTCATCTGATTAATGTAAAGGTGAAAAGGTGTCATAAAGATTGAATCACTTACTACTAAAATGTTATAGCTAACGTACTGTACTATGATTCTTCACTTAAGAACACTAAAGCATACTGAACTGATTCCCAAAACAACTTTCAATAAAGTACTGAAAATATACAGTACACTAGCAAACACTTGGGTTCAAATACTAATTATGCTAGAAAATGTAATGGGATTTAAAACTGGCTAACTCTAAGTGAACAATTTTCCCCAGAAGCAAGAGATCCACAAAAAAGTACCTAAAATACTAGAACAAGGTTGTAATTTGCTATAAAGAACATGAAGATGAGACAGGAGCTCCCACCATAGTAAATACATGTAATTAAGTGTGCCAAACAGTGGAAAGGAAATTCCCAACACATTATGTAAATAGTAAAAAAAAGAGTTTACAGTCTCTTTTTTGCTTGTTTACACCTGAAACCTCTGGTCAGCACTGTCTGGGTCTTCAGTGAGGGGCTCTAGGACACATCCTCACCTATTCCGATGGCTTTCATTTCACGTAAGGTCTGTAAAGCTGGCAATCTTCCAAATGCATAAAATCTTCGGAGACATTTCAGAATGGTATTAAAAGTCTGTAGATTTGGTTTCACCTTCTGTGCAACCATTTGTTTCAGTAGCTCCTAGTTGAATCAAAAGCAGGAAGTACTTTTTATGCCTGGTAGATAATTTGTCCAATAAACTAATACTACATACTAAAAAAGAATTTGGCTCTGTGGCTATGTCTAAAGCAGTAATTTAAGAATTACTAATTCAAGAATTTAAGCATTATCCCTAATTTAAGAATTATCTATTAATTAGCAGCACCAGTGACTGCCTTTTAGAGAAGTTCCTCCATTCAGTCACTCCCTACTTGATAAAGGTATATAAACTGTCTTCAGCCCTCTGCCTAGGGAGTCTTCTGAGACTCAAACAAAAGAATGGACTAGAATGGATGATGTTTTTCCTTTATAAATAAGCAGTATGGTACAAAAACATGTTCCTACTCCTAAATTACTTCAATCCACTGATTTCAATTTTTTTAAACTTACCTGATAAAAATTTTGAATAAATATGCATATTTTTATAATGAACTATTATGAGAAATGAATGAATAAGGCAACTCAGGTCTTCCTGAATTCTAGCTGTATGCTCTGGGTCAAGTCATTTTTTCTTCTCACGTATCAGACATAGCTATTTAAACTAGAGGGCTGCTAGAAGGGCGGTAAACAGGTAACTGTATCTGAGTGCCCAGCATGGTGACTGCTGCATAGATGCTCAATGAATGCTGTCTCCATCCCATGTATTTCTAGCAAAAGATATTTTCGGCCTATTAGAAGGCAAAATGAGGGTTCCTCCTTACCAGTATGTTATTCCATTTTTCCTCAAATTTCTCATTTACCATCAATGCTTTTGCTTCAATCACTGCATTGAAGGTGTATACATCAGCTGTAAAAGGAGAAAATTAACAAAATTTGGAGTTGAAGATTTAACTCCTAAATTGCTCAGTTTAAGGCAAAGTGGTGATGCACGTGTGGCTCCTGGCTCATTACCACGTGTCCACAAAACTAGAAAACCACTCTCTTCTCTGGATCTACTTCTGCTTCAATCACCAATACCACACGAAAAGATTAACAAGTGAGCCAATGAGTGAGGCAAGATCCAAAGATTTCAGATTCTTGAGAGAAGGAAAGAAAAAGGAGAAGAGAGGGGAATTCTCCAAAGACACTTACCAGGAAGTCTGTTGTTTAATAATTCTGTATACAAATTTAATGCCTGCACAGGAGCTCGGTGCTGGAAGAGAGAAAGGATAAAAATTAAGTATCAGCCGATCTGTTCATTTATGAAATATTTGCACATCTACTGTACTAGGGTTCAGGAGGACAGTAGTAAACGAAACAGACAAGGTCCCAGTTCTCACGAAGCATATGCTCTAGTGTATACGAGGTTCTCTACTGCGGCAACTGTGCTTCCCAGGTGACATCTGGTAATGCCTGGAGACACGTTCAGTTGTCACAACTGGGGGTGGTGAGGATGTACTACCGGCGTGTAGGGGGTACAGGCCAGGGAGCTATTAAACATCCTAGAACGCACTGGGCAGCGCCTGCCACAACAAATTATCTGGCCCAAAATGTCAATAGTTTTGAGGTTGAGAAAACCTGAGTTACGGGAAATTATGGATAAAAATACAGATGGAGGAAGTCAAGATGGCGGTGTAGGCAGACTCTGAACTCACCTCCTCCCGCGAACACAGCCAATTTACAACTACTCGTGGAAAAATTACCCCTGAGACAGAACTAAAAACTGGATAAGAGGAACGCCTGCAACAACGGACAATCCTAACTGAGGTAGAAGAGGCAGAAACTCCCTACTGGAGAGGAAAAACGCCGCCTTCACAAGCCGCCAGCGTCATAGCCACCCGGGAGCAGCCCACAGGTACGCAGCCCTCCCTGGAGGCGCGGGGCGCTGAGCCGGGAGCGCCCCCGCTGTGGGCATTTTGTGGACCCAGCACAATCGAGACAAGGGCATAATATCTGACTTTGCCTGCTACTAAAACATCGGGGAGTACCCCCAGAAAAGCTGATTCACAAAGAAATTAAAACCGGTTCTTAAAGGGCCCACGCGCAAACTCACCTGTTTCAGAAAGCAACCTAAAATCACCTGAAAGAAAGGCGCACAGTGCTTTGGTGAAAAGAGACTCACCTAATAGGCCCTGAGCACATCTTGGTGAGAGGTGAGACCACTCCAGGGACTGGGACAATGGAGGCGGCCATTGCTGTGGCCTGGTGTGGGCGTGCTGACACAGACGCCATTGGAATTCTCCCTGAGGCCTGCTAGCCCAGGGTCTGCCCCACCCGCTAGAGCACCGATTTAATCCAGCTCAGCAAGGGGGGGCAGCCCACCCTAGAGACTGGCCCCCCACCAGCAACAAGCCCTCGGGCAACTTGTGGGGCTGCACAGATTGGTGACTGGATTCTTTGCAGCCTGGCAACTGAGC